CAAACTGAAGAGCAATATATAGACTAAGAGAACGAAAAAAAATCATGTATAGGATTTATTAAATCCCACATTTTAATTTTAAAAAATTAATAATAATAGTATTTTCTATATGATATCAAAGATCTGAATGTTTGTAAATATATAAAAATTGTGGGGTATGTTAAGTAAATAGATACAGTGAATAAGCATTGTTTTAATATTCTGCGAGCGAATTGTACAGAGGGAATGATAATGTGACGAGCAAGCTATCCGGCGGCTGGCCGAGAAGCTGCGGCGGCAAGCTGCGCAGCGTGGAAGTCACGGCGAATCCCCCACAGAAGCTCGGCACAGCGCTTCATCGACGGCCGCGAATTTCTTGGTGACGCCAGACAGGAGCACGCCAAACCCATCACCTCATTCACCGCTCCGATCGACGCTGGGCTTCTTCTCAGCCGTTGATCCATTGCGATAACCACTTCCCCTTGTCGAAACTTCTGCATTGCCTGCTGCACAATCGCTTCATCAGAAACCTCAAAAAAAAATTTCAGGTCTTAACAGTTGCGGAGAGGCGAGGGGTCGGCGTACCCATCGAGTGGTGTTTCTGTCCTTGTTGAGATTGAGGCCACGCTCGATTGGTTGGCGACCGGTGATGAGCTCGATTAGTAAGACGCCGAAGGAGTAGACATCGCTTTTCTCGGTCAGTTGGTAGGTGAGAATGTACTCGGGGTCCAAGTAGCCCGCAGTGCCCTTGATCTGTGTTGAAATGTGGGTGGCATCTGGATCTTCCGCCGCCAGCCGGGCGAAGCCGAAATCAGCCACCTTGGCCCTGAGATTCTCTGTTAGGAGGATGTTTGATGATTTTATGTCTCTGTGGATGATCGGGTGGTCTGCACCGGACAAGGATAGGTTACTGCATGGATAGTAAGTGGACATTATTTATTAAATTACTTGTAGCATGCAGAGTAGATTATTATTGTTTGAACCATGTATATTGAAGAAATCTTTGATAATTTTATATTGGGGTTGTTGTTCAGCTCCTAGTGACAATGAAATTGATATGAAAGCCTAGATGCAAAATAAATATTTCTACTGTTCTATGAGTTCTTAAATACTGTATTTACCCCATTTCTGCGTTATCAAATGTTAAAATAAATAAAAAATAAAAAATAAAAAAACTTTGAGAACGTCGGTAGTGATAAAAAAAACTTGTTTTTTATTGGACGTTGAGCGATCATATCACAGATTGTTACAAATTAGTGGTTAGAATCGGCTCAATGTTGTGGGTGAAGCCGAGCTTGATAACGGAGCTATAGCGCCAAGCGCTGTAAAAAAAAAGTATTACTTTTTAATGTTTTTTTTGTGTTGAAAGATGCTCTGCTGATGAATCATGATAATAATAATAATTATTTGATAAGCTGACTCTAAAATATAAAGAGAAGAGGGTTTGTTTTTGTGGCTTTGTTTGATATTTATTCGCAATGTCTGAAGCATTATATTTGTTATTGCAAGGTAAGAGATAGTCATCTTGGAGTAACTTTAACCTAACAATCTCAAAAAATGTGTCTACATCTGTTAAATTCAAAAGTGTCTGGAAAATACACCCAAATTATAGAACATTCTGCAGAGAAAGATGGAAAATAGAGGAAGAGAGAGCATAGTAAAGAACAGTAAAGAGAGAGTGATTTTTATTATGATATGAACCCTCTATTTATAGAAGTATGTCCCGATTTTACAAAATTATATATCAGTCCCCTCATCATTGACTTTCCAGAGGGGTTTTTGGTAATTACAGAGATATTCACATATGATAAGACCAGAGGACTGATTCGGTCAGTAGGAAGTTCGCCGACCGTCTGCTAAGCCTGGACTCCATTAGCATTTGATCTGAAAGGGCTTCTTACCGATCAGCCTGAGGGTCGATCGCTGCCCTATGAGAAATCCTCCGTCACATTCTTCCGGTCGCTTTTAGATGCCTTCATCAATCTCGAACCCAAATGGTCGTCAACAACTACATTCGATCATATATTTCTTCTGAACCGTTCATTTGTCTTGAGATTCGTGCTGACATATTTTTCATATATATATAT